GCATAAGCTTTCGTGGGTAAAAACTTCTCCCACGAAAGCTTATGCCCAAATAAATCTGTTAGTCTTTAAGGTGCCACCAGACTCCTTGTTGTTTTTATATGAAACATCGTTTATATAGGATTTAGGAACTTAAAGTTCAACTAATAATCTAATTCCTAAAGAAATAACTTCCTTTTTACTTATACCTTTCCGTGGTCAGATGGTATGTAGTCTACCTGATGTTAATTAAAATGAAATCAAATATCCCAGTATATGCACTAGCATAAAGGCAGTTGGATGTAGTGTGTATATATATATTCTAATTCATAGGGTTTACTTTGTAGTTTACTCATTACTAAAGAAGCAGCACCTACTGACTCATAATAGTTATATAGTAGTACATCTAATTTTGATGATTGTCAACATTTTTCATAAAATGAATCATTTTAACAGGGAAACTGTCTCATGGACAATCTTTCCCTCCCATTTGCAATTAGAAATTAGATTTAAATATTGACTTGAGAAAGTCTTTCTACACATGATTGTAGATATTGTTTGTGTATGTATTTCTGATCTTCTCTTCTTCTTGATACATTCCTTGATCTTTCTGTTTTAAAACAACCATTAACTCTGAAGATGTACTTTATATTTTCTTGATGATTTTAGAAATTGCACTTTCCTCAGAGGATTTCTTGTATTATCACTGCAGCTGAGTTATGAACTTGACACAAAGTAAAATGTGTGTTAACATCACTGCAGGGTTACTATTTGTAATAATGGCTGGTGGACCCACAGGAAGCTGAGTTAGATGTCTCACTGCTGATTAGAATGACCTTGGAGTTTACTCTTAGACTCCAGATACAGATGTAGTTTCGTTTAGTGAGGAGAGCATTTTCTCTCCTCATACTTTGCACCTACCCGAGAAGAATCATTTTATACCATCTGACTGCTCAGTGCCCTATCCTGAAGTCCTTCACTCACAACTCCCATCAACTTCACTAAGGCCATGTCTACACTACAAAGTTAAGTTGACTTTATGTAAGTCACCATTGAGCCTCCAATTTAAACAAGTTGATCTTGTGTGTCCACACTACGCTAATTGTGTCATCAGAGTGCATCCTCACTAGCAGGGCTTGCATCGACGCACGGAGAACTGCACTGTGGGTAGCTATTCCACAGTGCATGTAGCCAAATAGAATTTTGGGTTGGGCTTGCAGTGCCTTATGGGACCAAAACATTGGTGTGGGTGGTTATGGGAATATGGCATTAGCCTCCCATGATGCACTTACCTCCCTCCCTGAAACCAACGGCAAACAAACCAAGCCTTTTTCATGCCTTTTTTCATAAGCCTGGGTTACCTGTGTGGACCCCATAGCACGATAAGCCTGGGCCCCGCTCAGCTGTACACTGTTGTGAGCATTACAAACAGCTCGCCCCTTATCTTGCAATATTTACACAGCCGATACAGGAGCCGCCGTGCGGAACAATGTGATGCCATGCACGCAGCCCTGCTGGAAAACATAGAGTGGAGCAATTCACAGTTGCTGACAACAGTCACATATTACCTTGACATGGTTGAGCGCTGTTTCTGGGCCCAGGAAACAAGCACTGATTGGTGGGACTGCATTGTTATGCAGCTATGGGATGACAAGCCTGGCTGCAGAACTTTCGAATGAGTAAGGCCACTTTCCAGGAACTGTGTGAAGAGCTTTCCCCAGCTCTGAAATGCAGCAATACTGAAATGAGAGCTGCTCTGACAGTGGAGAAGTGAGTGGCAATAGCGCTGTGGAATCTTGCAATGCCAGACTGCTACCGGTCAGTGGGGCATCAATTTGGAGTGGGTAAATCTACCATGGAATCTGTTGTGATCCAAGTTTTCAGGGCAATTAACAGACTTCTGCTAAGAAGGATAGTGACTTTGGGAAACGTGCAGGACATTGTGGATGTTTTGCTGTGATGGGGTTCTCTAACTGTGGTGGGGTGATAAATGGAATGTATATCCCTATCTTGGCAACAGACCACTTTACCAAAGAGTACATAAACCAAAAGGGATACATCTCAATGGTGTTGCAAGCGCTAGCGGATCACAGGGGCCGTTTCACTGACATCAACGTGGGATGGTTGGGAAAGGTGCATGATGCACGCATCTTTAGGAACACAGGTCTGTTCAGAAATCTGCAAGCAGGAACTGTCTTTCCAGACTGCAAAATAACCATTGGTGATGTTGAAATACCAGTCGTGATCCTGGGAGACCCAGCCTACCCCTTGCTCCCATGGTTCATGAAGCTGTACATCGGCAGCCTGGACAGCAGTAAGAACCGGTTCAACCATTGACTGAGCAAGTGCAGAATGGTGGTGGAATGTGCCTTTAGATGTTTAAAAGGTTGCTGGCACTGTTTGCTTACTAGATTAGACCTCAGTGAAAGCATTATCCCCATTGTTATTGCTGCCTGCTGTGTGCACCATAATACCTGTGAAACAAAGGGAGAAAAGTTTCCGCTGGGGTGGGGGGTTGAGGCAGATTGCCTGGTAGCTAATTTTGAGCAGCCAGTCACTAGGGCAATAAGAAGAGCACATCGAGGGGCTCTGCGTTTCCATGAGGCTTTGAAAACCAGTTTCAGCAATGAGCCAGAGTAATATGACACTTATCTGTGTTGTTCCTTACCAAACTGTCCCTCTGTTTCATTTTCTCCCCTGTAAACTCCACCCCACCAAGTATCGTGTATGGAATGAATAAAGATCCTTTTCTCCTCAATCCATGAAATTTTATTATGCACACAAACACACAGAGACAGCAAAGAATAGTAAGAATAGTGAAGCAATAAACTAGACTTTCTGCTCCTTGTGTATTATACATGTAGAGGAGGTTTGAAGGTTTGTTTGATAGTACTTGGTCTGAAAATTGTTTTCAACTGTCACTCATACCCACAGGAGAGGTCTTTTCTAAAGTAGCATTTGAGAAAAATAAAAGAAATTGACCTAAGGTAAAAAAAAATGCAAAGAATGAACTACAAAGACGCCATCCTTAAGTCACCCTATTGTACCCAAGTATTCCAGCTGCTAAAAGAATTATTCTGTGATATATTCTATTTGGAAGCTTTAGAACAATGAGTTAGTTCATAAGTATCATGAAAGCTGCTATACCAATATACAATGGAGAAAATTAAGAATATAGGTTAAACTTCAGCTTTGCATTTTATGGCTTTCATCAGTTGAAACTGAATCCTTAGCAGTGTGTAATGTTTTGGGTCGTATCAGAATTCATAATATTTTATTGTATGTTATGCCTGTGTTTTACTTAGCAGCATTTTAAATACAACGTTTTTGCCCCTTAAAATTCGCAGTACTTCTTTACTGTTGTCTTTGGCCATGAAGGGCAGAAGCCACTGGAGCTCCGTTGTGAGGAAGAAAGTGATGGAGATGAATGGGTAGAAGCTATCCACCAAGCTAGGTATGAAACCGGCCTCTTAATTTATTCTAAACTCCACTTTTTATTCTTAAGAAGATGGTAGAGTTTTTTAATCTAAATACACTCTCTCTAAAAAGAAAGTAATTTATTTTAGGCAAATGTATACTTGCATTCCCCAGGTGAGTTTCACTGGATAGAGTGTTACAGATAAAAATTGTTAAAGGCACATGTGTTTTGCATCACAAACAGTCAGTGCTCTAGACAAAATTAGTTTCAAAGAACATGTTTTCTTAGGGCAAAATACTTAGGCATTAATTCATTTTAAATGTAAGAGCTGCTTGGTCAGTTACTTGCAAATCAGAAATAAGTGTTCTGTAGCCATAAAAATGAGATAGTGAGTGACTCACAAAATGCCTTCAGATACGAGGGTACAAAAATGAGGAGACTAAAGTATATTTATTTAATAAATACATTTCAATAAATAAAATGCCAGTCACAAAATTTAAAACCAAAACACTTTCCAGCATGAAAAAAATGAAAGGCTTGTAGACCGTCACTTGACTGCATTATGACTTTCTACCATCCAGTACCCCTTTCCTCAGAAAGGGCCTGGGTGAGGAAGGTGAGATTACAGCATAATGTGAAAGTCAGACAACTCAGGTTTTGGGTATTGAGCTGTAGAAATGAAGGCCCTTTGCTGAAATGCCTTTCCTCCAGGTCCGTCCCTCATTTCAGCAATCACAGTTAATCTGAACAGCTATGGTAATGCACCGAGAGGGCAGCAGTCTCTGAGTTGCTCAGGATCCAAACCATGTAAATACATAAATGGAAATGGTTTTGCTCTTGCACTAAAAAATGAGCAGTTTTAATTTACAATTATTTGATGATGATGTAGAGGGTCCTGGCTCCACTCGAGCCAGGCTTTTTGATGTGTGATATGGGTAAGAGGGGTTATGATCCCAGCCCCTCTTTTCCCTTACCTCCCACTTGTGGAGGGTATGTGGTTCAGGGGTCCTCTTGAACCCTGAGGAGTAACCTAAAGAAATTGAATCAGGGCCTGAGAAGCAGGAACCCAAAGATTGCAAGAGGAACCTTTCTTGCAGGGAAGGAGATGGTGCACCAGAGCCACTGCACACTATGCAGGGTAGCACCAAAGAGAATAGGGAGAGAAGTTGTTCTTAGAAGCGGTGCTTGTTCTGTAGCAACTCAGCACAGTGCTCTGAGTCATGGGAGCTGATCTGGGTAGAAATGAGGGAACTCCTACACATGAGAGGGAACAGACAATCTAGGCCTGCGTGGGGTTAAAAAAGGCAGGTTTCCCCCACTGGTCTACAATAGAAGGGTCAAAAAACCAATATATTGGGTAGGGATTAGGCTGAGACCGCCAAACTCATTTTCTCTTGTTTTTTAAATCAGGATTTGAACTTTGGCCTCCAATTGTGGCCTAAAACACAGGTTTTCACTATCAATAGGTTTTACATGGACCCCATAAAGACAATGTTGCCCCCATCCCTATCTTGATCTAGCCTGTCCTTCCATCTAAATCACATTTATCAGGTGTCTTATCAAATCTCTTTATTTGCTGGAGAACTTTTCAGGGATTCAGTAATTTTATTCAGTTCTGTCATTCTATATCATATTATAAAAGTATAAAATTGCTGCTCTTAAAATGTAAAGCTGCTTTTCTCTCAGAGTTGGTAAGACAACTCCCACCTGTTCATGCTCTCTGTATGTGTGTATATATATCTCCTCAATATATGTTCCATTCTATATGCATCCGAAGAAGTGGGCTGTAGTCCACGAAAGCTTATGCTCTAATAAATTTGTTAGTCTCTAAGGTGCCACAAGTACTCCTGTTCTTTTTCCAGGAAAGTTACACATTCACTTTTCTTGTATAGGTTTCCAAGCCAGAAGAGTAAAACTAAGTGAGATGGGTGCAGCTTGTTGTATAAATTCTTTGCCTCCCTGTAACTTCACAGTTCAATACTTTGATATCAGCTTCTTTTTAATGAGGATTTTTTTGATATATGAGTTGTTAATTAATGACACACAAGCACAGAATTGTAACTGACTCCCGCCCTCCACCCCCAGGGTGTCACTGTGAGCCCTTTGGTACACCAGTCCTAAGTGCCTGGTAGTGTGCTGGGTATACCATACTCTCAGAGGCAAGCCCCGTAGGTGCTCCAAACTTTAGGCCTCTCAAACTCTAGACCTTGGTGGGTTCCCCATAACACTGAATATGATGAGTAACAAAAGATCCATTACTACGGTTGCCTGGAATAAACATTACACTTTTCCTAGGTATGATGGCTCCAAGTCACATAAAAAGTTGATAAACACAAGTCCCAGTTCAGCCCCAAGGATTGTTCAGTCCCAGAGCATGAAGGTGGGGCTCCTCTAGTTTAGTGCAGGGATACTCGCTTGAGGCCACCCCTTTCCAGAGACAATCACGCACTGGCCTGCAAATCCCTTGGCCACAGTCCTGTCCTTTTATGTGGCACCTGTAGTCTCATTCAGGCCCATTGCCCCACAGTTTGCAGGCCACTCTTGAATGTCCACTAGAGGCAGCTACCACTGGCCCCTTTGCCAACTACTAGTTGCTTCCCAATCCAGTTCTCAACCCTTCAGTCCCAGCTCCTAAACTGCCTGGCCTCCTGCTCCTGCTTCAACATGTTGACATCACTTTATTTTTAATGAGGATTTTTGGATATATAGGTTGATAATTAATGGCACATCAGCACAGTGTAAGTATCAGATAACTTGCTCCCTTCAGCCTCCTGTTCCTGCTTGCCTCCAGCTCCCTCCTGAGCCAGGTCTTCTCTGACCTCTGATTTTACTTCTCTTCCCTGTGCTGGAAGTATTATGGAGCAATCTGTTGGCTGGGAGTAACGTAGTGCTTAGTAACCAGCCAGCATAGCTGTGGAAATCACTTTGAAGAGCTAGCAACTTTATTACACATTGGGGATGGGAAGGAAACAGATAGAAATATCAAAAGACAAATCAAATGTGAGATCATCTAAAAAAATCCTTATGATTTTTGGAGGGTGCCTTTTGGGGTGGGCAATACCACAGCAGTTTGGAACCAAACCCAGCAGGTTCTTTTTGCTAGGGATTCAGATACATTAGATTTACTTGGAGTTTCATGTTTGCACATGGAAGTTCAAAATAAATAATGAACCTCCCCCACTCCACTCATTTTTAGTTTCTCCCTCTCTTAACAGAACCTAGGACTCAGCTTTAATTTAGAAGGCCTTCTTGGAAGCCTGTTATTACTCCACTGTGGGTATGTTTTAGGAGAAACCAGATGGCGAGTCCCCATATCTTTAATTTTGATGGTGAAGGAAATGTTGCCTGGTTTGGGAATTGGTGCCATCATTTCTTACAACCCTAGCCAGTAAATAGGAGAAGCATCATAAGTACACTTCAAAGGAGCAAACAATTTTCAGTCCTTTTTTCACAGGCTATATAGCGAAGTCCTTGTTCCTTAATGGAGCATGCCTTACAGGAGGGTAGTGGAAGTCTAAACTGACATATAGCTCACTGTGGGATGTACATAATTATTCATGCAAGATAAAGTTTTTCTAGGCATTCTTCTAAATGAGGGAGAGTTAGCAGATAAACAAAATTAAAAAAATCACATTTTATAATCCAACTCTTTAATTTATATGGATTGTGACCATAGCAGCTGCAAACAGTGTTGCTTTGCTCTGCCATTTAACATAACTTTGAGCTGATGAGAAACTTATTTTTTTTTAATTCTTAATTGAACAAATTCAACAGTAAAACTTTATGAAAGGGAAAAAATAGAAAATAGGGGCTTTTTACTTATCCCCCTATATGTTTGAGTGCCCTAAAGCTATTCTTTCCACTGTTCACTTAAGAAGAAGACTGACTACTCTAGAGTCTGCAAAATAAATTCTTGAAAACTGAAAAATAGGTGCACTAATACAGATTATTTTTAATGGCTGTATCTCATTTCAACTATTGTTCATTCCACTAATAATATATAGGATGTTTCCTGATTGATTTCCCCAGGAATACAATATGATGATCCATATATTGTGATATTAATTATTGAAAGAAGCCCAGAGCTGTTTGGATGGGTGGTTATTGTTATACTATTATGATGATGATGATTACAATAATTAAATGATAAAAATAAACACTGTAAAGGGTAGTTTCAACATTTTAAATCCTTTTCATAATCCATTAAGAGAAAAAAATCTTATTTTATGATGGCTTTGGGAACGCCCTCCAATTAATTTAAATGTTAGCTTTTTTCCAGGTCAGCAATTTAATTTAATAGCCATATTCAGTGTTGGCACCCTCCAGTACATGACTCCTTTAATTTTTATTGAATTGACAATTAATAAATATATAAAAAAGAGCAAAGTCAAAGAATATGCATATTTAAAATTTTTCTTTTTATATCAAGTCCCAAAATAAACTAAGAAAAAGTATTCATTATTAAATGATTGTTGCAAAATAAAAGAAGTTTAAACATTAGAAGACATTTAGTCAAAATAACTTGGTACTGCCCGTTCTATCTCACGCCCTTTGCAGACAAAAGAGTGGAAGGAATTCAGTGCTTAGCATTTTGAGTGAGAGTTTATAGACAGAAATAAATCACAATCAAGTAGAACAACACATACTAAAGATTTAGTGCTCACTTGTTCAAGATTTTGTGCAGTCTGGCTATGAGTCGGCAAAATATTTAAGCAAGTGCTTTACTTTAAGCACCAATGCTCTCATTGACTTCAGTGGGACTATTCACATATTGAAAGCCAAGCACATATGTAGGGATTGTTTCTACAATATGGAACCTATGTTGGCATAGCCATGTAGAGACAGCCTACACCAAGAGAAGGAGGTTTCTGTCGGTGCAGGAATACCATGTCCCTGGATGAAGTTAGCTACATCAAGGGAAGCACTCTTCCATTGGCATAGCTATATCTACACTGGGGTTTTTGTAAGCATAGCTATGTTGGTCAGAGGTTTGTTTTTTTCCACACTCTGACTGATGTAGCTATGCTGATTTAATTCTTAAGTGTAGACCAAACCTAAGTACTTTGCTGGATCAAGGCCAGAGTGCACAGCATCTTGCAGAATCAAGCTTTCTGCACATCTCTAGTACCTATTTAAGTGAGGTTGAATCACATGAAAAAAAAACAGTCACGTGAAGAGCTTGTGTAGGAAGACTGATTTGAAAACATGACACCATGAAAATTCATATTCTTTTTACCCAGAAGACGAGTATGGTACTGCCAGTAACTGTTCTGGTCATGACATAAGGTCTGGCTTAGAGATACAGTCCCTTGACAGAAAATAATATGGAGCAGGAATAAACTACTAACAAAGGAGTTAAGAAAAAACAATCATGGCATAATTTCTGGATTCGTTTTTTAAAAGATTCTATTGATATCTCAAACTTGTTTAAGAACAAAATATTAAAAACCAAAACCAAATTATTTGATAACTACAATAAATATGGAAAAAAACAAACTCTTTCATGATTAAGGGCATGTTACCAGAGTGATAGGTACAGATGGATAAAAATAGTCCTGGAATTAATGCCAAATACTGATAAGCAGAAGATAAAAACAAAGAATTTAATGAAAAAAAAATTAATAAAGTTCCTGGGCTTGTCCTGAATATAAGGAGCTCAGATAAATGACTCTGAGATTACCTCCCTCTCTGATGGGGCTAACAGAAACCTGCAGTAATGATGATACGTACACCTTGTGTAAAAATACAGAATGTTAAAATATAATTACACATTAGCGATTTGGCTGCTTTATGATTAAACTATGAATTATATATTAAGCAAAAGAAACACAATATTGTAAGGTTCTTTTACTCATATTATGTAAGAAGATATGGAAGTCAGCATTTGGCTTATTTACTAATTAATATTTTTCTCCCTAGTTACTCAGACATTCTGATTGAGAGAGAGGTCTTAATGCAGAAGTACATTCATCTAGTTCAAATTGTAGAGACAGAAAAGATTGCAGCCAATCAGCTTCGACATCAACTTGAAGATCAAGATACGGAAATTGAAAGACTAAAATCTGAGGTATTTGCATGCAATCACATTACTAAAGTGTCAATGATTTAGTATATTTTAATTACTTTGTTATCTCTATTGCATAATGTCCCCATTCTTGCAATCTTTGTGGACCTATAATAGGTCAGTAAAGAAAATACTCAATAGTCCCGTTAAAAACACTAGGTCAGAACTTTCCTTTTAAAGTTAATTACTTAGTGATTATTTAGCTTATTCAGTTACCTTATTGGCAGAGTATTTTAAAAGACCCATCACTTTGTGATTTGGATTCTGCTATTCATATTATTTACTGTGTCTTAACAGAATGCAGTTGAAAAGCATTTGTTTGGTCCTCAACACATTTTTCTCTGGCTTAATTTTTTTGTGATTCAGTGTTGTAATCTATACCAGTGTAGTCTGTTCATATAAAATAATGCTTGATTGGATAAGGGATTTTCATAGATTCTAAGGTCAGAAGAGACCATTGTGATCATCTAGTTTAACCTCTTGTATAACACAGGTCAGAGAATTTCCCAAAAATAATTCCTAGTGCATATCTTTTAGAAAAACATTCCATCTTCATTAAAAAATTGTTAGCGATGGAGAATCCATTGTGGCCAATGGTTAATTACTCTCACCATTAAAAATGTATACCTTATCTCCTGAGGTTGTAGAGTCTGGAAGAAGCACTGAGTCTCTGGAGGAGGAAACACCTCCTCATGCTATTTATGTTTCCTCTGGCTGGAGCAGGAGCATCACTGTTTGTTTCCAGAGAGAGCTGTATCCAGGCCTCCTCACCCAGAAGGGTGTTTGTAATGTTGTACAGGCGTAAGAAGCCCCCAGAAGATCCTTCAAAGAGAATGAAGTGCTACATAATAAATACTGTAACTGAACATTTCTAAAATCTTGAAGAAAAACATTAATGGTATTGTTATTTTGTCAGATTGTAGCTCTCAATAAAACTAAGGAACGAATGCGACCTTATCAAGGCAACCAGGAAGATGAGGATCCAGATATTAAAAAAATTAAAAAGGTAAACTGTCATGTACCCTGCTTGGAGGGAGAAAATGGAGATAAATGCACCTGTATGTGTTTTACTAAACAATTAGTTTTGCTTTCATTGATTGTTTCCTAATTTGCTATACTCAAGTGTAAAGCTGTTCATTTCATCCTGTCTGTATCTAAACCAGTTAAGTTACAGCAGCTTTTAACATTTCCGTTGTATGAAAGCAGACTATTTAGTTACATATTACTTAATAGGGTAATCTTTGTTTGTACATGATCATTTTTGTCACAAACTAGTTACATAGATCTAATATTGTCATGACTTTAGAGTGGTTAGGAACATTTGGACTCAAGCAATAGGCTATTTCCTTGTTGGTGAAGAAATATGTGACTACTTTATCCACTATTTGTGCAGTTCTTACAGAACATGATTTTGAAGAGGGTCGTTTGGTAGCAAAAATACACTTCAGCTTATATCTCATTACTGCAAATAATACACCACTTTTGGAAATTCAGAAAACAGTTTGATATTAGTTTTCAGCTTGATCTTTTTGATTGTAATATCTTCAGGATGCTGTAGACCACCATTCAAAAGGGCCTCAATCCAGTCTTTATTTGGACCTTGTAAACTTAGCATATGCAACAAGTGCCTGAGGAGTTTTTAGTATCATTTCCTATGCATGCAGGTAACTGTGCTCTGGAAATGTGCCTTTGGGGGTTGCATATGCAAAATTTTACAGACACACACACAAATGTAAATTATAGTTTGAAATTTTGACTCATGTACTTACCATACCCATTAATGATACATCCTTTGTGTTATGACCATGTTCTTGGGTTTTCACTCAGCCTTTCTGGATGTGGTGGTCCAGGAGTCATTCGGGACTGACTGTGAGTTGGTGCCACTGTGTCTGGGTTTCCCTTGCTACATGAACGGGCCTTTATAATGAAAACTAGCCACAACCTTAAGTACAGAGAGACTACTGCTTTTCTACAGTAAGGTCATACAGTTGCTCAGTAAATACACATCTTGATAGTTGTATTAAATTGGGTTTATTTTTAAACTCATTTCTTGAAAGTAACATGTTCCCATATGAGGTTTTAGATTTCCCTTGGAAGAAAGTGTAACTGCATATTGGGGTCAGGACAGGAACAGACTCTAAAGTCTAAATATGTCCTTTAAGATGGCCAGAATTAGATCTTCTCTCACTAAATCAAATCCACTTTTATCTTGGCTTTCTGCTACCTTCAGTGGAGATTTTCACATCTTAGAGATGCTTTTTAAGAGTGACAAAAGCCTGCCTTTTTCTCTGGTAGTAGTGTAGTCAGGGTTGGTCTGTGGTAGTAGGCAATAGTTATTTATATAGCTCCATATAGATGTGTATGTGCTATACATACAAATAAGAAAACAAGGCAACTTTATTGGCATTACTTCAGTGTCACCAAGATCAAAAACTGCCCCAGGTTCCCTTCCATGAGAAGTTTACAGTGCAAAGTTAGGCAAATAACAAGATGAGAACTGACCAAAGAGATACTGAAACAACATAAAACCAGGGGAAAGAGAAAAATGCATTGATAGGAATAACATATACAAGGATATGGCACCTGAGCTTTTGTTAAAAGGTACCAGTATATATCTGTGATACTATTCCAATCTAATTTCTAATAGCAAATTTTACTGAACAACTATACTATTTGCTCTAATAAATGGATATCTTTAAAATGTACATGCATGGCAATTGTTGAGCAGTAAATCATTAGAGAATGCGAGGTCTTGGCAATTAACAAGGGAGTCTGCACAGCATGTTCATATATTTTGAAATGAAGATATATGTGATACAAACAGCTCTTGCCATGATGGAAAACTGGCTTAATTTCTTTGTTTGTTGTTAACTTTTTGAAAGTGCTTCTCATTACTCTCCTTGTTCTTCTGTATTTGATCAATTTTAGGTTCAGAGCTTTATGCGAGGCTGGCTGTGCAGAAGAAAATGGAAGACAATTGTCCAAGATTATATTTGTTCTCCACATGCAGAAAGCATGAGAAAGAGAAACCAGATAGTTTTTAACATGGTGGAGGCTGAATCTGAATATGTGCACCATCTTTACGTTCTTGTAAACTGTTTTCTCAGGCCCTTAAGAATGGCTGCAAGTTCAAAGAAACCACCTATTAGTCACGATGATGTTAGTAGCATTTTCCTCAACAGGTATTTGATTTTTGTCTACTTCATCCCATTGTGCTTCAATTTTACAGTAGTAAAGCTGGTGGATAACATTTTGTCCTGACTTTTATTCAACCTCACTGAAGTAAATAATGTTTCCTGGGGTGTAAGCAGGGGCGGCTCCAGGCACCAGCGCAGCAAGTATGTGCCTGGGGCGGCAAGCCATGGGGGGCGGCCAGCCGGTTGCTGTGAGGGTGGCCATCAGGCTGCCTTCAGCGGCATGCCTGTGGGAGGTCCGCCGGTCCCGTGGCTTTGGTGGTAATTCAGCGGCGGGGACGCTGAAGGCGTGGCACCGGCGGACCTCCCGCAGGCATGCCACCGAATCCGCGTGGCCAGCGGACTGTCCGCAGATGTGCCACTGAAAGCCGCCTGACTGCCGTGCTTGGGGTGGCAATAACCATAGAGCCAATCCTGGGTGTAAGTCAGAGCATGATCTCTCCCCCTGTTTTAAATGATACCTTTTGACCTCTTTGCAGCCATGCATTCTACTTTTTCCTCTGCTGGAGGAGGAAAGTATAACTGTCTCTTCACAATGCACTGGGGAAGAAACTTCTCTCTCCTTTCCTTCTTTTTCTCAAGAAAGCAAGACAAAGCTTAGTGCATTCACGTGGTCCTGGTAGATCCTAGGGATGGGCATGCTGAATTTAGTTCTTATTTTCTTTTCTCCTGCCTAAAGACCTTCTTTCTCACTTGCCTGTCTCTCCAGATCAGCTTTCCCTACAAGGAAGAATGATTCGTTGCACCAGGCAGCTTGATACAATAGCACCTAGATACTATGGTGACAAACAAGTGCATGAAAAATGGGCAGATAGTCAAAATGAATGAGGAGTGGGGTTGGGTGTATGCCTCTCATTATAGATGCAATCTTGGTGTCTTGTAAGGCATTTATTAGAGTGCATGAGAATGGCTATGATCAGTGAGCAACTCCAAGTTTGAAACAGTTCAGGCAGTACTGCATAGTACTCCAACTATTGGTTAGTTAGTAACCCAGCTTTCTGACTTTGTTAATTCTGAGAACCAAGTGCTGTTCTGGGACCTTTGAAACATGCATAGGCCATACTACTTGATCTTTCATGCTGATTTCCTTGTTCTGAATGTTTCCTCCCTAATCTCTGCAAGTCAAACTGCTAAATTCAGAGGAGGAAGTCTTAATTATGAGCAGTTTTTTTAATGTGCCCTGTAAGGTTTCCTTTCAAGACCAAAATGCATTATCACATAAATAGCTCTAGTGAGTTATATTGTCATTGACCTCATAAAATGGACAGTTTTAAAGCTCACACTGAAGAAAAAAGCAATACAGTATGCTGGCACCATGTAGAGTTGAAAAACTACAATAAAGCTCCATATGGCTTTCTATGTCTTACTGCTGTGTTTAAGTTAGCATAATGCATTGTCTAAAATATTCCTTCAGTTGGTACACCTGCTCAATAAAGTATGTGGAATTTGTTATTTAATAAACAATTTTAATAAAATAGCTAAACATTTGGAATACATATCTCTGTAATCTGCTATAGGTGTTTTTATAATGATGTAGAACTGTACCTAAAAAAAGTTGAATGTTTAGTTATTAGATACTAAAAATAGATGCAATATATTGATATAGAAATGTTGATTTCCATAATATTGTTATGGCACCTAGTGCAAAAGTACTAATCGGAAAGGATTTTTTTTTTTAGTGAACTATTAGTTAGAAAATAAGGTTTGAATTTTTTATTCTTTCAATACTTCTTTTTCAGTGAAACTATAATGTTTCTTCATGAAATATTTCATCAAGGATTAAAAGCAAGAATAGCTAATTGGCCTACTTTAATTTTAGGTAAGTTACTATTACTTGTATTCAGACAATGAGATTTTCATGGCACTTTTCACCAGTTTTCACTTTTAAAAAAATTAACTGTCCCTTTTGTATACTATACATTTACAGAGCTAACTCTACACATATAATTGTATATGATTATTATGGATTGAGGAAAATTGTGGGTGTCAATTTGTTAGTATTTTTTGTGAGGAATAGCAGGGCCCTTCAGAGGTATGAGGGCTCCTTTTGAGGTCAGCCTTTGGGAGGACTCTCTTGGGTCAGCCTCTGCCCAAAGATTAGTCTCGGCATAGTCCCTGAACTTTCCATTATCATTCGGTGGCTACTATATGGTTAAAATGGTGATGCTTTGTCAGGAGAGGGGACCAAAGTTTGTATGACTTTATGAATATAATGGAAATAGAGCTAATCATAGTAATGCTGCTTCTGTAGAGCTGACAGAATTTTTTGTGTAAGAGATGGATAACCAGAAAAAAGAGTTGTCTTGATTTTTTTTTCTAGCTGACTTATTTGATATTTTGCTGCCCATGCTGAACATTTATCAAGAATTTGTTCGGAATCACCAGTACAGTCTACAAGTACTGGCAAACTGTAAGCAAAACAGAGATTTTGACAAACTCTTGAAGCAATATGAAGCCAACCCAGCATGTGAGGGGCGAATGCTGGAAACATTCCTTACTTACCCTATGTTTCAGGTAGTCTCTACATTTTTGTGATTGTTCATTTGTAAAATTCATTTGCATCATTTATTGTTGCAAAAATTAAGATCTGTTGAAAATACTTGAATGAAAATTAATTTAGTCATTTGTTTATCACATTATTATTCTGATATTGTTTGCATGTGGAGTGATAGTTTCAAAACTACACTGGTTCCATTACATTCAGGATCTTGCACTTGGAAAGAGGAATGTGGGAGGAGGAATTGTGCCAAAATAAAATAAATAAAAATGGAGAAGCAGATCCTCTACCGTGATCTGCCCCAACAGCATGAAGAGGTCGGTAGGGAGCCACACACCAGCTGGTGCAAGTTAGAGCAGCCCCAAGGCTGCTGTAATTCGAGCTACTGCTGGGACCAGGCAGATAATCAAGGAGGAGCAGTTATTAACTCCCTGACAGGAACACCTGCTCTTCAGTGATCAACTTCTGCTAAGTGTGGTGAAGAATCTATCCCAAACGACTTTAAAAAGTGTATTGTACTTCTGCTAACATGTCTTGATCTGACTGGATGAATTATTTTCATCTGTCTGCAAGGTTCTATAAACCACCAGTCTGGCTGTTTTACAGCAATTACATTTGACATAGTTTATATAGTTTTTCAAAAGAAAGTGTTGCTGATATAAAAATACTGACATTTGTGTAATCATGCTAGTTAATAGCCACATCTGCCCAAAGGATTTACTTCTGTTAGCACCTGTAGCATTCTCATTTGCCTTTGGTGAGCTCTTGTTTTTAAATGTTGTAAATTTATTCTGTTGAATTGACTAAAACAGCTGGTGATCCATAAAGGGGATGTTATTTTAATTATTGATTGCTTTATTTGTATATAATATGCAGATTTGCAACCTCTCTGCTTATGAATTTTAGATGTATGAAATGTGAAAGGAAGGCATGCCCCATTGCCTAAGGCCTAAATTTCCAAAAGTGACTAGGGATTTTGGGAACCCCAGTTTCTGAAACACTTTAAATTAGTCTGATTTTCAGCTACTGCTCTCCAGCCACCCATCTCTGAAGGCAGCGCTGCCGCCAGCAGCAGTGCAGAAGTGAGGGTGGCATGGTATTGCCACTCTCCCTTCTGCCAGTGGCAGTGGGTCTAACCTAGCCCCAGGAGCGGTCCGTGCTGGGGAAAAGGAAGTCCAATCCCTCCACAGCCTGGTTGGGACTAGCAGCTGGAGCCCATCACACAATAGGAGCCCCCAGCCAGGGCACCCCCAGCCCCGTTCCTCCCCAGTGCTCGGGGGCTAAAGGGGCTTTGGGATGGCTGTGTGTGTGTGTGGAGGGGATGACCACAGGTCGTCCGTCCTTCCCCTCCCCCCCAACCAATCCCGGCATCTTAGGTGGTTGCTTACATGTAAGGCTGGCCCTGTCCCCCCCCCACAGAAGTGACAACTCCCCCATACCATGCCATCGTCACTTCTGTGCTGGTGCTGGTGGTGATGCGGCCTTCAGTGCTGGGTGCCTGGCCAGCAGCCACTGCTCTCCGGCTGCCCAGCTCAAGGCAGCACAGAAGTAAGGGTGGCAATACTGTGACACACCCCCCCCCCACAATAGCTGAATTTCCCAGGGGAGACCAGATTTCACAATCTGTGATGCGTTTTTCATGGCCATGAATTTGGTAGGGTCCTAAACATGATAAATAGAAACTGGTGACCTCAGAAACCTTAATTTGTTCAAACTGAAAAAATCATACCCAACATAAGAAATCTATACTAGAATATATATAAAGGCACTTGTATTATTGGAAATTAATAAAAAAAATAGACTGACCAATTCGTGATTTTTTTTTTGAGGATTTTTCCTACACTCAGCATTCCATCTTGAATTGGTAGAGAACTTTAAGATTCTAACTGAGCAGGGACATGGATATTGTCAGTGGGTTGACTAATCTGGTAGAATTTCAGAGATCAATTGGCATTATTGTTTTTCGTAAAAAATGCTGATACTATATTTAATTTGTTTAAGATTCCTAGATATATTATAACTCTTCATGAACTTCTGGCTCACACACCCCATGAACATGTGGAAAGAAAGAGCCTTGAATTTGCTAAATCTAAACTAGAAGAACTTTCAAGGTAAGATTTTGTTCCATATATATACTAAGCTTGAAAGGAAAGCTCTGAAATAAAGAAACAAATAATTATTTTCTTCTTCTTAATTTTTTTAAATTAAAAATTTGGCTTTTTTTTGCCAAGGCAAAGCTAAGATTTTTGCTGCATTTTTTTCCCATGACAGTTGCCCAGCCTTAGGTATGAGTGAGGCATTTGTCTTTAACTACAAAAAAAAAAGTATGTTTTTTCCATATTTAATAAAAATAACAATTTCATAATTAATAATAACAGAAGTGATCAGGGTCTTGCAAATTTCTCCGTTCTAAATTTGAGTAATTTTTATAAATATTAATGAAAATATCAAGTTTGCCATGTGCTGTGATGTGATGGCAGCTAAAAGGGTCCATGTATCCCAAATATTTTAGATACACTGCTTGTATATATTTTCAGAATTACTGCTCCCTTGAGATCTTTGCAAAGTGAATCTCTTTCACTGCAGCCTAAGACTTTCATAACTGCCTCTCTGCATAAATCTGGGGGTACATTTTGCCATTTTCTCTAGGGAACACAGCTTTCTGCTATATACATGGCTAAAGTGCACAAAGTCTAAATTATGAATTTTCCTGAATTTCCCCATGTGACAATGCCACTATTTTCCAGTCAAAGCAGTTTTTTAGCTGTAAGAAGAGTTTGTTTCACATGTGGAAACTGTCAGCTCCTATTCACTGGACATCAGTGTGGGCCAATGGGTTTTCTTTTGCTGTTCCCATTTACTAGGTAGAGAGACCACCCCACTGGCTTCCATGATTTTTTTCTCTCTACCCAGTTGAACTCCATCTACAGCCTGGCTCCTGAGTTTTCTTCAACTTATATTCTGCCTCAGACTCGGGCATATGCCTTCGGCTCCTCATGGAGCACTCAAATAGCCCTGTCTTAAGGCCATTTGAACAGAAGCAGAGTTCCCCTCACATTTCAGGGTAGGCAGAAGAATCTCTTATGGCTAGGTCTGTGGTGGCAGCAGCAGACTCTGCTTCATCCCATGCCTCAGGTGAAGAGTTCACTCCCACCAGCTACTCACTAGACAGCCAACATTAGGAGCTCAGGCTGTTGCTCCTCCTCTACTATCAGGGCAGGCAGTGACTATCACAAGAACAAAACACTTGAGACAGATTTAGTCACATCACTTAATACACTGCTGGAAGGTTCTCAGATACCACAGTGATGAGAATGGTATAAGAACCTATATAGAATATAATAGAAGAACTCCCAAGCAGCTGTCTACCAACCCTATTGTCCTTAGTGCTTCCATCTTCTAGATTAGTAAAAGCTCCAATGGGGAGGACATTTTATGCGGATTGGTGTTTGTGAGCTTTGCAGAGGTTTAGAAGTGTTTGGATGTGTTTACAAAAGGTTTGGATGCTCAGAGGGTGATGATTTGCCAGACTGGAGTAGGGAGGGCATTCTGGCTCCGATTCAGGAAAGCATCACTGTTCAGCACAGCACTTAAGCATGTGCTGAAGTGCAATCCTGAATTGGAGCCTCTATGCATAGGGAAAAGGTATAGGGAGCAGGGTGGGAGAAGAAAACAAATAAGGCATTGCGTCTGGCATCGTTGAAGTAAATAAAGGGTGCAAAATGGTCCACGAGAGAAGATCCGAGATACAAATTGGAGCGGAGTTGTGGAAGACCTTGAAGTCACGGACAAGGTGACCTAAATTGAATAGGTAGAGAAGGCCAATGGAGTGCCTACAGTAGGAGGGTGGCCTGATCTGATGGGCAAGAAAGATGGTCTTAGCAGCTGCAGAAAGCTCAAGTAGGTAGCATTAATGAGATTTGGCCAAGATGCGGTCATTCAAGACTTTGGCGAGAGCAGTTTCAGAAGTGTTGAAAGTAGAGTACCTGGACTGAAATGAATCTATGAATGAAGAGAAGAGGTTGGAGCAAGGGTTGTAAAACTTATTTTTCTTGTTAGCAGCTACTTTTATTACTACTTTATGTTGACCAGCAGCTTGGTCAAATACCAAAGTGTGACAGTTCTTGAGGTGAATTTTTGGGGAAGCTAGCTATTTTTACATTTACTTTGATAGCAATATATATTAATATTGCAAAATAGATTTCAGGGAATTAAAAATCCTCTTTTTACTGTGCCTGACAGGGTGATGCATGATGAAGTGAGTGACACAGAAAATATCCGGAAAAATTTAGCCATAGAAAGAATGATAGTAGAAGGTTGCGATATATTACTAGATACCAGCCAAACTTTTATACGTCAAGGTAAGGCTTTTTCTTAATATATGTGTGTGTGTGTATATATATATATAATAATATATATAATAATGAAAAATGTATATTAGAACAGCAGAATTAATGTTGGCATCATTGGGAAGATGACACTGCTGGTGCCCAACATCACAAGGCTGATGTTGTCCACATACAATAAGTGACAGGTTGCCCCATGACAAATAGTTTTGGGCTACAGTTGAGCCCCACTTCTGTGCTGTTTTTTTCAGGGGCCATGAAAAACAGCAACACAATAATAGTAAAGCACCCATGGGAAAGTAGCGTACATACAGACTGGACTATCATCTTCAATGGACCAGAAATTATCTACAGCTCCACGGAGAACAGGTCTGTCTGGCCAATTGATGTTGCAATCTCAGATGATGCCAACATTCAGACAAAAACACAAGAGAAGCTAGAAGTACTTGAAGCTTTGTCAAATGGTGGAGAGATTGTGAGGAATGAAAACAGCTGTCTACTGTTCCCATTTTTCATTTGTGCTTCGGGAACAGCTCAAAATGCTATAATTTAATTTCTTTATAACCTTTGCTGCTAGATGGATAATTCATTGACAAATGGCCAAGAACAGATATTAGAGCATAACAGCATTATATATGTATTTGAGTTTGTGAGGACAAGCATTTTGTTTCACAGAATACCATTTTGGGCTACAGTAAAAGCTCAGTGTACATGGCAGAAATGTTTCTGCAAAAAGAAACTGTGAAGAATCAGCATACTGCATAAGAGTGCAGATTCATTTGTACATAGCAATTTGCATCATGAGAGAGAGACACTGCATCCTTTGTATTATTATTTTTGGAAAGAGTTTCCTTTGAGGTTCATATATAGTAATGATGGACTTAAAATTCCACATAATCTTGATGAAAATAAATCTTTAATATGGCATCTTTTATGGAAAATGTTGGCATCAGGTTGGAATTATCAGCATAGTGGATCTTATATTAATGATAAGCCAATGATATTAAAAGAAACTCAAGAAAAAATTGATAAATGAAACTTATTTTTTGTTAAACAACTAAATATTTGTAAGTGATTATCTCTGAATCATTAGCACCAAGCAAGCAGATCTTTATGCTGACCTAGAGATCTGTAGTGCAGGATTTTTGGCTTTTCATATGCATAAGCTTCTTTGTAGTCCAAAAAGGATGATATTCAGGGAAACCTGAGAATGCAATTTAGGTGCATCCTTTAAAATTAAGACCGGTGGCCTGAGGTGTGAACTCACATTAGATGGTTTAGAACTAAATTTGACAGCTGTGAAAAGCACATAAGCCCTTTGAATATTGCTCTCTCTCTCTCTCTCTCTCTCTCTCTCTCTCTCTGTATGTGTGTGTGTTTAATAAAATTCTGGAAATCTAATGTATAGTGTCTTTAATTATAAAGACACTATACATTAGATTTCCAGAATTTTAATGTACCTTACCAAGGAAATAGGGATAATAACATAAAGATTCTTATTACAGCAGTCACTCTGAAATCTGTGAAGGTTTTGGAAGGATTTTTCATAATTAAATATGGATGTTTGGCATAATTCAATGCTGTTGGTCCCAGGATATTAGAGACAAGGTGGGTGAGGGAATATCTTTTATTGTACCAACTTCTGTTGATGAGAGAGACAAGTTTCAGGTCTGGCAGAAGAAGAGCTCTGTATAAGCTCGAGAGCTTGTCTCTCTTACCAATAGAAGCTGGTTCAATAAAAGATATTGCCTCACCCAGCCTGCCTCTCTAAGATGCTGTGTATGTAAATGTAGGGAAGTGTCTGCAAGAAAAATATTAAACAAAATATATTGGACAAGAAGTTGTATCTTTCATTGTATCTAGTGCCAAAAAAGTTGCGAGACATGAACTTCCTCGACTGACACTAGTCTAAGTATTGTGTGAATTAATTATACTGTATAAACCATGTTATTCTTTAGTGTACTTACAATATTTTGGTGTATATATCTGAATTATGTCATTTGTTTTATTAGTAATTGCTCATCTTGTTTTGTTTGTATGCCTAGAAATTTGTCAATAAAAAGTAAATATAATAAACCTACCATGAGAAGAAGTCTTAGTATATTTACTCAATGGTGTTTTTAATAAGAATTGAATATAACCCATCTTTTTTTTTTTTAAGTAAGCCAATGAAACCCATGATTATTTCTGGAGAAGAATAGTTATTTTGAAAACTGTGCATGATGCAAGAAAATTATCTCACCAAAGACTAGGTTCCGATCTCTGATCCGAAAACTTACATTGTCGTGTATCTTGTAAAATCATCGACTGTGCATGATATTGTATGATAGCAGAGATCAGAAATGGACTGTGGAAACAAAAACAAAAAAATCTCCTCGTTTCTCTGTATCATTTGGTTTCCTGCTGTCCATGTCACAAAAATAGCCTGTAACAGTTGACGCTAATTGGGTCTTTGTTGGCAGTCTCGGCAGACAGACCAAGGGTCTGGAGAATGAGCTAGCTTCTCAACCCGTAGAAGTGTTTCCTCCAAATCAGTGCTGAATACATTGGCAGAGAAGCAAGAGGGAAACTTGTATTGATTCTGCTGGCACAAGACTGTACATGTTCTCTGGCTGTTCTCCACTGCTTCCAGTCTGGCACCTTTCTCTGCAGTCTATCTCACCATTGTTGTCTCTGTCTCCCATTGTTGCCCTCTGCTTTGGTCAATGTGGGCCTACATGAGACCCCATTCTGTGGCTTCCATACACAGAACCACCAAGAGACATAAGTGTTGGAGAAACCTTTGTTCAAGTCCTTCGTCCCAGGGTGAATGTTACCTTTGTAGAATATAATACACAATTTAGTTTACTAAAAGGCATTTAAGGACATTCAGATTGGCCTTGTGGATAGGTATGTAGGGTTACCATACGTCCGGATTTTCCCGGACATGTCCGGCTTTTTGGGCCTCAAATCCCCATCCGGGGGGAAATCCCCAAAAGCCGGACATGTCCGGGAAAATAGGGAGGGAGGGCCCGGTGGTGCTCGGCTGGGGCCGCTGGGGCTGGGGCCGGCGGTGCGGGGCCGGGCCGGGGCCAGCGGTGCTCAGCAGGGGCTGGGGCTGGGAGTGCGGGGCTGGGGGCGCGCGGTGCTTGGCCGGGGGCTGGGCCGGGGGTGTGGGGCTGGGGGCTGGTGCGGTGCTCAGCCGGGGTGCTGGGCCGGGGGCCGGGAGCGCGGGCACTCGGCCGGGGGCGT